GGCGAAAATAACTGAGGACACAAAGCAGATCCCGCCATTATACTGTCATCCATGCGGCCAAGACGGATTGAAGGCGTCGGCTCATGGCTATTGTCAAGACTGTCAGGAGCACCTCTGCAAAACTTGCTTTGAAACACCATACAAGGCCAAAGCCATCTAGGAATCACATTCTGCTGGACAAAGACGCAATGCCCATGCAGCCAATTACCGTTGACATTAACATGGACACAATCACGGACAAATGTACTAAACATAGGGATAAGTCACTGGAGTTCTACTGTAACAATCATGAAGCTGTAGCATGTTACGTTTGTGTTACACTTGAACACAAACAATGTAAAGTGGACTATATTCCTGATGTTTCAGGAAACTTATCAGATGAGTTTATAAAATTGTCTAAGAAGATGGAAATGCTGATCAAGAAGTATGAATCAAATATCAGACGAGCTGAAGCTGCGACGAAACAACTTGATCAAAGTCACGGAAACGTCGTTGACGAAATAAAGCTTTTCAGGAAAGAAATAAACGCATATTTGGATCAGATGGAGTCTGTAATGATGCAGGAAGCCGATAATCTTACTTCCACAGCAAAGCTTAAATTGAAGAATGTCCAGGTTGTATGCGGAGAGATAGCTAAGGAAGTGAAACGTTCACAGTCAGTTTTAAATGCTTTAAGTAAAGAAAACAAACACAATAATCTTTTTATTGAAATGAAGAATGTCAGTTCCGTTATGACAACACTTGATGACAAAGGAAGACAAGCTATCGAAGACAACAAAAAAGATGATGAAATCAGATTTGTACGCAACGAAAAGATACTTGAACAGTTGAAGATTGCGAAAAACTTTGGGACTACTTTAACATATGAAGTACCCTCAGCAGATAAGAAATTGGAAGTACAATATGAACCATCATACTGCGTGACACTTCCATCTGAAGACCGATGTAATATTGTTGGAATGGCTATGATTTCTGGCACACGAATGGTAGTGGCTGATAATAACAAAAAAACTATCAAAATGATTGCTGTAAACACGGGGGCGTTGGTATCAGATATAAGTCTATCTTCGACACCATCTGATGTTATAAAACTTCCGGACAATAAACTTGCAGTCGCCATACCTAGTAAAAAGTGTATACAGATGATATCTTACAATGACACAAATTTGTTTTTAGATCGTCGAATAGATATTGGAGAAGAGTGTAAGTGTATAGCTTATGGTCAAGGTAAGCTTGTAGTCGGCTGTGGTAGTGGCACAGGAAAGCTAGTTATTTTAGATATAACAGGAAATATCACACAGGTGTTTGATACTCCTGGGTTGTTTGATTCACCTGAAAAGATTGTTATCAGCAGTGACGAGAAATTCATGTATGTATCCATTTACAAGAATAATTATACAAACAAGAGTATAAAAATGGACTGGCAAGGAACTGTTGTACAAATGTACGAGGATCGGAAATATATGTTCCCAAAGGGAATACAAGAGTTAGAAGATGGAACGCTGCTTGTGTGCTACAATAACAGTGACTGCATTATAAGACTGTCTAGCAGCTTCAAGAAATGTGAGGTCGTGGGACTAGAGAAAGCAAACCTTATTTCTCCTAACGCTGTAACATACAGTGAAAAAGATCACAGACTGTTTATTAGTTGTTCTCCTTCGAGGATCCATAATAGAAATGATACAATCAAGGTATTCAATGTAAGATGGAACTAACAGCCGGAAAGAACATACTTTTAAGTGTTTGATTCTGCATATTTTGTTTAATGTAATCCATGTGAGACTTTTATAATAATTCTAAACATGAAACAAAACAAATAAAATGTATTTCTTCCATAAGTAATCATTTCTAATGCATATAATACCCATATAACTTATATCATCTATAAAAGGTACATAAAATGAATGTTTAATTACATGATAACTGTTGTGTATGCCATCAACAAAAATATATTTCAAATTATTACCAAATATTTTTCAGCAAGTTTAATCATTTAAACAAAACCGAGTCCACAAATAAATGGCATTGTGAGTTGTTTAAATAGATATCACCGTGTGTTAAACATGTCTGTAGTGCACAAATATCGTTTTTGTTTAGTATTCATTGTTATACAAAATAAATTTTATGTTTTTATAGTAATGTGTGGTGGAACAAAATCATCATAGTACAATCATTCAATTTGCATGTTTAATTGTCCACGGCAATTTTTAACTTGACGAAACTAATTCGGACGCTCAGAAAATAGTGTATTATATCGTAAATAAAATATAAAACGTATATTTGTGATTTTCTTACTCGTATTGTAAATTGTTGTAATGTTTTACATTATATTTTTAAGTTTGCTTGTAATTTTAGGTTTGTATATTTGAGTTTTTATATACCAGGCAATAAAGTATACCATCAACTCAAGTAAAAAAATGGATTTAAACCGTTAAATATTTACTGGTAACTAAAGTTCATGTTAAGTACATGTCAAAACTCTTCTCTAAGTTGTTTTATGCAAATTATTACAGTCACAACATTTAGAGTTTAAACAGTCATGTTTCTATCGTTTATTAATGTCAAATTTTCAAATGCGGGTACTTCATTGTCACTGTGCATGAACGCCTATATGATTCGGTTAGTAACATGTCTTGCCATTACAACCATCTACTAACCTGGAGCCTATATATTTAAACTTGTATCTTGAGATACCAAGAAGTAATTTCGTTTATAAACTGTGATTATTACTAATTAACAGGATTTGTTTTTAAATCCGTCAATATGTATTCTTGCTAAAAAACTCATTGTCATAAATTAGGAATACCTTTTGCACAAGGGATCGACCTGTTTTCAAACTATCCAGGTAAAAGATATATAAAAAAACATCAAGTCTTTGCAAAATCAGTTCATTTTTTTACCTTGTTTCTTGGGCAAGAGCAAAGTACCTTATATCAACGTAGTTGGGACCTTACAGTCATAGCATTGGCTTATCCGTAAAAATTGGAGCAATTAGTACCTCACGATCGGCCTGGTAATATTTTGTATGAAAATACGATTTAATTGAAAAGGAAAAAATATCGCTGCCATAATACATGGTACAAATAAGAGAAGAAACATAATAATGGATAATTTTCTGCCATGCATTTAAAACTCGCGCAAATAACGGTGATCTAACATGATCATCCTGTCCTGTATCGCTTAGGATTTGTTGTTTTACACCTAGAAAATGTTTACAATCAATTATGTAATGTGTCTACTTCTTTGTATTAATCACCCCCTCCCCCCCAAAAAAAAAGACAAAAAAAAACAACAAACAAATAAAATAAATAAAATAAAAGCTACATTTCCTTCATGAAATACATCAAAACAAGGCATTTTGATTATAAGCTATAAATATAGATTGTTATGAAGTGATTCATATTGATTATACATTCTAACACAGTTTACAATTGAAAACAGAATAAAATTTTAGTTAATTGAACGTGTGTAAATCCCTTAATCTTAAGCAGGAGGCATTGCGCTCATCAAATTAGCTAGAGGTTCCGTCAGAAATACTGTATCTACCTTCTTGCTTGTCCCTGTTGGTGGTTAACTTTGGGTACCAATTTATAAAGATGTGTAGTAGAAATTTTACTCAGCAAACAAACCATAGTCAAAAGTAATACTAATTTTGACACAAGTGCAACAGTATTTACAATATCCGCTTACTTGTCCCTGTTGGTGATTAATCTTAAACGTCAGATAGATGTTTTGATATACGATAAGAAGGAAAAGAAGAAGAAGAAATCATTTGTTATATTTATTATAATAACTTGTGATACATGTATATAGTTTAAACAAATATAAAAACAAATACAGGAAAAACAAGTCGCCCCGTCCCATGGACCTGTAAGTCACTGTTTATAGGAATACGTCATTTATATAAACATAGTCAATCAAGTTGATTTAACGTCTAAAGAATAAGTATATATGAATGGTTTTAACATGTTTTAAACATTACACCTGCCTAAACTTATCATTATAGAGTATATTGTTCGATCATTGAATTGTGATGATTAGCATATGCATGTCTTTGTTTCATTTTTCAGTGTTTACAGTTTTCCAATACTAAATGATGCACTGAATGAGTTTTTATCATTGTTATTATTATTACATGTATTATTATTATTATTATTATTATTATTATTATTATTATTATTATTATTATTAAAGGTCTCTAAATGTACCTTGATAGTTGTCCGCAAAAATGGGTCCACGAATCACATGTGTTTCAGTGGCTCTATCTGCACACATTTCTAAAACATTCACCGCAAAAGGATGATTCGGTTTGCCACACAGTGCCTTTAGTACAGAATTTTCCTGGTAGGTGATTGTGGCATGATTGCTGATTCATAAGTAAAGACTATATATGTCTTACAGATCTTTCACTGACTTTAACAGCAAAACATTGATTTTATTTATGTCTTCAGTTCAAGTGAAGTGAATTCCGAATTTTCTTTCAGATAACTTCAATGTACTATATTTAATTATCATTCAACGGTTTTTTTCTCACTATTTACTTTGGCAAATGGTCCATAATTTCTCTTAACAATTCATCCAATTATTCACACTTCTTCTACTGACCTTTACCTTGTAAAATTGAGAAAATTACATAATAACAATGTCAGTCTGACTGACAATATTAACATGTAAATTAACAAGCAACGTCAACCTTTTCTATACTGAGATGCCCGTGTAGCGTTTATCAGTCTGAAAGAGGTTTTAATTATAATTAATGAATCGGACTAAAACTAATCAAATGCAAATCATGAGTCCCTACTAGGTACCTATTAATGAATTTTATTTACTTATATGTAATGTGCGCCGAATTCTCTTCTCTCTGCACTATCACACATGTCGTCTTAAACAAACAGAGATATTTTACCCTTACATTGCTAAAGAACGATATAAGGCAGGTAAACCATTGATGAATAAAACCCGGCTATTTTTAACACAATACACTTTATTCAGCTCAGAAACAAATTTTAACTACACCCATAACAGATCATACAGTATAAGTTATTAAATCAAAAATACAAATGACATATACATGTATAATAATTGATAGATCAATAAATCTTTTGCAAACAAAGTTAAAATCATTGCCTGATGCCGTTTGGTGACTTTGTATAAATATATTTGTATAAATATACCAAATCTATTAAGCCCAGAATTAATACAACTCTCTCATTTGTACTTTTCTGTTCTTTATTATCTTTTGCATTTTTTCTGTTTTTAGAGTTGCAGCTGATCTATGCAAGAAGTGTTTAAGTAACCTCAAATTATAACAATAAATGAATAATTATTATTTCCATTACCTATATGATTCTTTGCTAAGTTTTATGATCTTAATATAAAAGTAAATATGCATAAAACTAATATTCTTTTATCCGTTTTGCCATTTCCATTTTAAATATAACAGAGTAAAACTCATTTTTGGGGGTGAATTTTAAATTACCTAAAGATAGGTTAAGTTGACAATAATTTCACAATAGTTGTGTCCCTTGTGTACTAGTATTTAATCTTCCGCGTCCCAAAGATCGAGTTGAGACACATTGAAAAAGGTAAGAAATTTAAAACTTTATTTCATGTTTAAAACGATGAGCCCATGAATGTTTACTAAATGTTTTTTTAATTTCTTTTATTTGTATTCAATAAGAACATTTTTATGAAGAGAAATCCATAAAATTGTAAAACATTAAGGAATAGCCCCAATTCAAAAGTTTTTTCACATGACTTGAAACAGCACTTTTATTATCAATCTAGAAAAAATCAATTATTTAATGAATATTATTTCGACAGCAAAAACATAAAAAAACAGAAGCAAACTACAGTATTTACATTTTTTTCCAAAATAGTTTTATGTTACTTTTAACATTATGTTTGTTATGTAACTGCATTCTTTATATCTACTTTTTTGATAATGCCATAAGGGCGTATCTCTTTTTTTCCCAATATGGCAGTAACTACCACATTCCATATTATTCATTTATGTCGTATAAGTGACAAATATTTTCTTCAAGAAAATCATACGAATATAAGCTTTGTTTTAGATAGCACTCTATTCTGCTTAAACATTTCTTACATAAGAACTAAATTACACTATTACCTTTTTTCGTAAGTATCAGGTAATGCAGAATAATCGTAACAGAAATTTAATTTGTTTGAAAATTTTTTCTATACATTGTCCAACCAGTACATAGGAATGAGTGTTCAAGAGAAATCGGCTTGCCCCTGACTGGGTTTGAACCTTCCGGTTGCTTTTTTATACAATTGAATTGTTGAATTTTAGTTACAAAATTGTTTTGGATCTAGCGACTGTCCACACCATGTTAGTGAATTGTGGATCTATTCCCTGGATAGAACAGTCTTAATGACTGAGATTTATATACAGATGTGGTAGTCCCAAAGTTAACGTCTTGTAATTAACAAAATTGCTAGTGCATGATGAAAAATGCCGCGACGCCCGAAACCGTATTTCAAGTTAGTTTATGTTTTGGCTGGTTTAACCTTTATGGTATTTTAATCTTTTTTAAAATCGATATACTAGTCTTTAAAACAATCACTTTATTCACAAAAGGTTACGAACCCATACGGTTCATGATATAAAATCAATCCTTTTACAAATAAATGAAGATCAATGCTGATATCTAACAGTCTCTGTGATAATCACAATATATTTAAGTTTAAGTTAAACATTTTATGTCATAAGTCAGTTGTGCATGTATATATGATTAAAATAAATAACGCCACTAATAACGACAAATAGCAAAACCAAATCAGTTTATTTGTTTCTGTAAATGTTCAAAAAGTCTTGAATCCCGGTTTCCGAAAATTAGTATTATGAGGTTATTATACACAAAACTGAATTTTATTGGACGTTTACAACGCTGTCGAGCCAATATTGAACGAAATGCTGGACGAGTCTAATACATATTTGTAGCTATGAACGAGTCGAATGGAATCAGTTTTGTATACAAAAATGTATAATGAGATTAATGACGTTTATATTTAACACCATAAATACGAATTGTAATAACACTTTCTTTTTTAGATCAATACTCTTCTTTTATAACAAAATGGAGGTGTCTGGGCAGATAACTGTAGACACAAAGCAGATCCCTCAATTATTCTGTTTTCCATGCGACCAAGATGGACGGACGGAGCCGGCTTATGGCTATTGTCAAGACTGCCAGGAGCACCTCTGCAAAACTTGCTTTGAACATCATACAAGGCCAAAGCCAGCTAGGAATCACATACTGCTTGACAAAAACGAAATGCCACTTCAGCCAATTACCGTTGACATTAACTTGGATACAACGGACAACTGTACTAAACATACGAATAAACCTCTGGAGTTCTATTGTAACAATCACGATGCTGTAACATGTTACGTGTGTGTTACACTTAAACATAAACAATGTAGAGTGGACTATATTCCTGATGTTTCAGGAAATTTGTCGGAGGAGTTGAAAAATTTGACTACAAAGATGGAAATGATGGTCAAAGAGTATGAATCAAGAATCAGACGGGCTGAAGCTTCGACGAAACAACTTGATCAAAGTCATGGAAAAGTCGTTGAAGAAATAAAGCTTTTCAGGAAAGAAATAAACGCATATTTGGATCAGATGGAGTCTATAATAGTAAAGGAAGCCGATAATCTTACTACCGCAGCAAAGCTAAAACTCAAGAATGTCAAAGTTGTCTGCGGAGAGATAGTTGAGGAAGTGAAGCGTTCACAATCAGTTTTAAATGCTTTAAATAAGGAAACAAACACAAAAAACTTTTTATTGAAATGAAAAATGTACGATCCGTTATGACAACACTAACTGACAAAGGAACACGCGCTATCGAGTACAACAAAACAGATGATTGCATCAAATTTGTCCGTGACGAAAGATATACTTATGCAGTTGAAGATTGCGAAAAGCTTTGGAACTACTTTAACGTATGAAGCACCCACAGCAGATATGAAATTAGAAGCTCAATATGAAAAAGCATGTTACATGACATTTTCATCTGAAAATCAATGTAATATCGTTGGAATGGTAATGATTTCTGACACACGAATGCTTGTGGCTGATAATCGCAATAAAGTTATTAAAATGATTGATGTAAACACGGGAGCGCTGATATCAAAAATAACCCTGTCTTCGGCACCATCTGATGTTACAAAGCTTCCAGACAATAAGCTTGCAGTCGCCATACCTGATGAAAAGTGTTTACAGATGATGTCTTACAATGCCTCAACTTTGACGTTAGATCGTCGAATAAATGTTGGAGTAGAGTGTAAGTGTGTAGCTTATGGTCAAGGTAAGCTAGTAGTCGCGGCTGTGGTTGTTTTAGCAGAAGAAAGCTAGTTATTTTAGATATTATAGGAAATATAACACAGGCGTTTGATGCTCCTGGGATTGTTTGATTCACCTCAAAAGATTATTATTAGCAGGGATGAGAAAATTCATGTATGTATCTAATTACAAGGACATATTTTTCTCTCGCAAGACTGGCAAGTGTATAAAAATGGACTGGCAAGGTACGGTCGTACAAACATACGAGGATTGCATACTAGGATTTCCAAATGGGAATACAAGAGTTAGAAGATGGAACACTGCTAGTGTGCTACAGTAAACAATCCACGTATTGAAAGACTGTCGAGCAGCTTCAAGAAATGTGAGGTTGTGGGATTCGAGCAAGCAAATCTGGCTGCCTCCTAACACTGTAACATACAGTGAAAGAGATCACAGACTGTTCATTAGTTGTTGTTCTTCCTCGCAATATAATTATGGAAATAACACAATTAAGGTATTCAATGTAAGATGGAAATGACAGCTGGAAAGAACATTATATTAAGTTTTTGATTCTACATACTAGTATATGCCTCATCTGATACAACAAAAAATAATCCATAGTAAACCTTTTTCACAATCCTGAACATAAAACAAACAAATTAAATAAATTTGTTTCATAAGTAGTCATTTTGAAACTTTTCCTTAGTGTATAAATATCGTTTTTGTTTTGTATACAGTGTAACACGTAATAAATTATATGTTTTTTTCCCCAGTAATGTGTAGTGAATCAGAAGCATAATTTGTAAACTCATTCAATTTGATGAAAGTTTCATTATCCACGGCAATGTTAGTTGTTATTTTCATTTTTTGTCATTCATTCATAATTTAATGTCGTACATAATTGATCGTCTTCCGCATAACCTTTGAACTAGTTTTAGCGCAAAATTGGTAACTAAATTGATAACTACTTTTTAACTTCAAAGAACTTATACTTCATGCTCAGAAAATATTGTATTATTATCACATATATATCATAAAACGTATATTTGTGATTTACTTATTCGTATTGTACAATTGTTGTAATGTTTTACATTGCTTTTTAAGGATAGTTAATTTTAGTTTGTGTATTAGAGGTTTTATATACCAGGCCATTAAGTACATCATTAAATCAAGACAAAAAATGTTTAAAATCGTTAAATATTAACTAGCAACTAAAGTTATTGAAATCAAGTTTACCGAATCTTTATCTTTCTCTCAAATTTTCTCATAATGAGACACAATCATAGTTTAATTTTATCCATGAAATTCTACTTCAAAGCAGACGATAAATAAAAAGAGGAATGACACGTGCGTGAAGGGCAAGCATAGTGTAACCGATTCCTCTATCCAAAGTGAACATGAAAACTATTAAGAAAACGTCTTCGAACATAAAAGTGAACTTTTCGATAAAAATTGTTTTATCATCGATACTGTGTGATACAGTAATCTTATTGTTAAAAACCCAAACAAGCTCGAAAAAAATATATCCACAATGAATGGCTTTATTTATAAATGAAAGAGAAGCAACTCTTAAGGCTTATCTAAAGTAAATCTTTCAAAAATTGTTCCCCTTTTGTAACTTATTTACATTCGCCACTTTTGTATATTGTATACCATGTTAAAAATACCCCACATGGCATTTTGTTAATTTGATCAACATACCTTGGTTATGCAATTAGTTATGTTGATCAACAACACGACATGTTTTACGAAGTTGATAAACAGCACGAAACCGTTTTTATACTTAAATGAAAAACATGACTACGTTTCTTTAATGTTAATAAGCATAAGACACATATCACAATGTGAATCACCAAATCGGTACTTTGTTTTCAATTGTGATTAAAATGCCGACATAAGATCTTATTTTTGATCAACAAATCGACGCGTTTTTCAATGTAAATAAACACGACGACAAGTTTCTCCATGTTGTTAAACATATTGACACGTTTTGCACAGCTGTAAAAATTATGACACAGTTGATAACGCTGACAAGCATGACGACACGTTTTTATATAATGTTTAACACAATAATACGATAAACTTTGTTTTAATGTTGATAAACAAAACGACACATTTTACAATGTTGATTAACATTCTAACACTATTTTCTCTTTGCCTGAAAGTGATAACAAAGTAAGATTTTACAAGTTATCGTTTAGCATTAACGCGCTACATAGTATGTCATATATATTATTAATGTACATGTATACTAGTATGCAAACTTATCATTCACTTCCATTTCATTCCTGTATAATATCATGTTGTTGTATGTATTTGTGTATGTTTGAACCTTATGAATACTTTTTTTAATGACTGAAAAAGAGCAATTATATTCCATTATAGTATTTCTTTAAAGATTTTATCATTAATTTTTACACTGATTATTTTTTCCTGTGCAATTTAGTGCAACATTTAAACTATAATAGGAAAAGGACGAGTCATGTTTCATCTATGAAGCGCATGATAAATGTTTTAAAATGAAAAATGCAAATTTTCATTAATAATTCTGAGATGTCATATATATTTTTACATGTCAGCACGCCTTCAGATTCATGCTAACTTTCATGAAAATTTTGACAATGTTTTTGAATATGTAATATTGTGAAGTAACAAAAAGGAAACAATTTACACATTATCAATGTCACTTACAAACCAGTTAAATTACCAAAAAGTGGTCAAAATATGCATAAATAGTCTTTACTGCGTTAGTAATGCAGAGAAATATAGTTGAAAATACTGAAAAATCAGTCATTAATCGCACATGATATGTAAATTATTACTTGAATCTGGAAACTTTTTACTTTTCCTTACATCTTAGTACATTTATCTCAAGTTTGATTTCATTGAAATATTTTCACTCATCTTGAGGGATGTGGCTTTAAGAAGTAAAGGCAGAAACTTTTTAAATGCCTTACAGGAGAGTAATACTGCACCACGTGTCAGTGTTGATTGTGAGAATGTATATATTTTTTACCGTATACTTATATGCAGTAAAAATGACAACAAAGATAAAGAAGAATAACAACCATCTGCTTCTTTTGGGCCTATATATATATTTAAACCTTGCGATACCAAGAGGAAATGTGATTATTATTAATGAAAAAAGAATATTAATAAAAATATTCCGTCAGTATGAACTATTGCTACAAAATGCTAATACCTTTTTCGCGAAGCATTGCCTTAGTTTCAAAATAGCCAGTTAAAAAGATATGAAAAAAATCTTTGCATATCAGTTCATTATTTCTTTAGATCTTGTGTCTTGGGCGAGATCAAAGTACCTTTATCGATGTAGTGGGGTTCTTAACCAATCCCTTAAAAAGGACCAATTAGTACCTCACGATTGGCTTTAGAAATATTGTGTAAAAATACGATTTAATTGAAATGCAAATTATTTCGCTAGTTTGAGCCTATGCCATATGGGCAATTTACGACTTTGTTTCTTTAATTTATTATTTCATCTAATCATTCTATACTGAGACAAATCGTCGCCTTTTTACTTTGTTGGTTCAGTTTTAAGTCATACCAACACTCTCAAGGTCACATGGCGACTTTACAATTTTACTGGTGGAGGAAAACCAGGTATCCCTTCGTCTCGAATCGCCCCTGATCTTGAGTAAATCGTCACTCAAGTTGGACTAACTGTTCTTGCGTTGTGCCTCAAAAAAAATCCGTAGGAAAATATTGTGTTTTGCAGTGATATTATGATCGAAAATTATGTGAGACAGTCAGAGAAATAGTAAAATACTAGTACTCATTGACACATAATTTTGATAAAATACGAAATATTGTCAACAGGTCGAGGCTTAATCAAATTTTGTAATCTATGTTTTGTATTAAATTCAGTCATTCTTGATTCCACTATCCTTGATGATTTATATACTGTCATCAACACTAGTCAAATGATGCCCGAAATATTACATATGTCATCTATTTTTTCAGAAATCTTTGTTGTGACACTGTTTACTTTTTCACTTTTAAAACTCATGTTTGCTACAGGTAGTACTTCCTTGATCCTCCCGCCCAGAAATGAAGTCCTGTAAAATAATAAAAAAACCTAGTAAAGTCATCATATAACACAGAAACTACGCAGATATAATAGAGTCACTTAATAAGACCAGTCAAACTAGTGATGATTAAAATTGTGGCACTTTAAAATGTTCAATATCTTTTTCTAGACTACAACTGATTAAGTCTAATACTGTATCGGGCTGACACCACCGGTTGTGCCATATATGTTTTCGTTTTGACAAAATATTGATAGCAAATAAATAATGAACATTTAACTAAATCTATTCAGTAAGTCCAGCATGTATTTTCTTCTTGTTTAATAGGTTGAATCGACATACGAGTAATCTTTTGTCGAAATGCCGCGATTCGATGTATGAAGGAAACTGCCGAAAAGTTTGAGATATATTCAAACGTTGTATTTAATGAATGAATGAACTAATTGATAAATAATAATTTTTGCTAAAGTAGCCCTGTTAAATAAAACCTCCTGCTTAAAAGCTGCATGTCCACAGACTAATTAATAATTCTTCAGAAAATTGAACTTTTCTAAACAACTATATATGAACAGTGGTATAGTCACAAGTACGTGTATTAATTAAGTCCAGAACGTTTAAGTGTTGAGAATTGAGTACCACTCAAGCCGGTGCTAAGGACCGTAAGGGATGTTGCACTTTATTACTATCCCTCATGTACAGACTGAGTCTGCAATTTTCATTTATGTTTGCTGTATTTAATGCTTCCCAAGGATCACTTTTTCCCCAGGTATATATACATCACAACCAGCAGGTATCCATTGCTGTGCGGCAGCCATTAAAAGTTGCACCGTACTTCACTTCAGTGTTGTTATATTTGTTTGGTCCTTCGGGATCACTGAGTCCAGCACTTTTACGTGTTGAGATTTGAGTACCACCCAAGTCGGTGCTAGGGGGCGTGAGGGATGTTGCACTTTATCATTATCTCTCATATACAGACTCAATCACACCGAGTCTGAAATTTTCATGTAATTTTGCTGTACTTAGTGCTTCCCAGGGATCACTTTTTTCCAATATATTCAAAGCCCATTGTACTCTGAAAGTTTTATGAATTAAGATTAGTTTTATTCTCCTATCACCATATTCCTAAACAATTCTAGCCAAGTACAGGCAAAGTTTCATACTATCGTTGTTTGCATTTTTTCCAGTGCCTGAAGCAAAGTTAAATTACATTTAATGTTCACTTCAAATGTTTTACTATTTAGAAAGTTTGCACAAAAAGCATAGAGTTGGTTAAAGTAGGGGAAATAATCTCAATAAGCCTGTGGAAGTTAGCAAAAGATAGTTATTCCCCTTGCGTACTAGAATATAAACTTCCGCGCTCCAAAGTTCAAATTGAGACACATAGACAAGAAGGTAAGATATTTCAAATTTTGTCTAATTAAAATTGTAAAATAAAATATAGTTGATTGAATGTACGTTCACTTCATGGTCATTTTTCTATTAAGGATAAATAAGGTTACATTCTTTTCATTTATAGAAAAACAAACATGTAAGGAAAATATACATATTTGATCAAGGGACTAATAACTTTTAAGAAGTAAAAGCGATCGTTAAAATTTAATGTCAACAACTGAGCAGACAAAAGAATATTGTTGAACGTTTTGTATAATTTTTATAATTTTGTTTGACAAATGTTACACCATTTATAAAACAATAGTTCATGGAATTCTACGCGCTTACCAATTAATTATAAAAAGTCAATATATTCTTTTATATCAATTGTTCTTATGTATCCGAAATAAATGATTATCAAAATTAACTTGCTGAATTCAAGTTATACAAATAAGAACAAAGATATTATAATTCAAACTGGTTGCTACTTTGAACAAAGAAAAGATAAAAGTTAATCTTATAATTTGTTTACATAACTATTTCAAAAATAGATTATGATATATACAATAGTTCCTGAAACAATATTAACATTTTCTACAAAAGATGATAAAACATGACTTTGTATTACAAAGTAACTGAAAAGGGAAAAGCCTGTGTAAGTGAGATCTTGATTGTAAAATATAGTATTCAGAAGTTCTACAAAGTTACAATAACTGAACAATTAAACTAAGTATAAAAGCAGTGAATGCTAAGTATGAAATGTCTTTCAAACAATGCAGTCATGTTTAATATCATAAGCTAAACTTAAACCTAAAATTGAATGTTTAAACTCTTATTTCTTTGGTAATATTATGTATTTTTATGTAATAAAATCTAATTTAATTCGAAGCAAAATACAAACCAATTATTGAAGAAATAGTTGGTGTTTTATTATGTTACTGAACTATACATGCTATATGAACCGAGGGATGATTTTTTTTGATAAGATAATAATTTTGATATGATTTAACTCACTCGTGATAATCGTCTAATCTTCTAGACTACAGTTAGTGTAGCCTATCGGAATAACTATATATATATCATAATAAACGTGTCACATTGAAGGTTTCACGATGACCGCCATATTAGCGCATCTATTCAAATTTTCTTAATAATTATTTGTTGTATTTTGATCAAGCCGATTGCATGCATTTACCACAACCAGCATTAAAAGGCTGAATTAAACACAGCCTGTAATAGTTTCAATTTTAACGTTTTTGGGCGTTCATAAATTTTGTTTTTCTATATTCTACATGATTTCATGAAATAAAAATCAACGAATCAAAGCACTTTCTCGCTATTTATTTACATGCTTACATTTTGTAGCGAAAGTATGACCCAAATATACCACTAACCGTGTATTCATATCATTGTGTTCGAGGTCCTTATCCAAAGATTGACGGTTGCGATTGTATACAATATTAAATATGTTCCTTAAATTGTTATGAATTGTAATGAAAATAAAATATATATAAATGCTAATTTATAGTTCAGTACTCTTCTTTTAGATCGAAATGGAGGTTTCTGGGAAGATAACTGAGGACACAAAGCCAATCCTTCAATTATACTGTCTTCCATGCGACCAAGATGGGCTGAAGGCGCCGGCTCATGGCTTTTGTCAAGACTGTCATGAGCACCTCTGCAAAACTTGCTTTGAACAGCATACAAGGCCAAAGCCATCTAGGAATCACATTTTGCTGGACAAAGACGCTATGCCACTGCAGCCAATTACCTTTGACATTAACGTGGACCCCATAACGGACACATGTACTAAACATAGGGACAAACAACTGGATTTCTACTGTAACAATCATGAAGTTGTATTATGTTACGTTTGTGCTACACTGGAACATAAACAATGTAAAGTTGACTATATTCCTGAAGTTTCAAGAAACTTATCCGATGAGTTTATAAATATCTCTAGGAAGATTGAAATGCTGATCAAGAAGTATGAATCGAAAATCAGACGAGCAGAAGCTGCGACGAAACAACTTGATCAAAGTTACGGAAAGGTCGTTGAAGAAATAAAGCTTTTCAGGAAAGAAATAAATGCATACTTGGATCAGATGGAATCTGTTATGATAAAGGAAGCCGAAACTCTTACTATCACAGCAAAACTTAAACTGAAGAATGTCCAGGTTGTATGCGGAGAGATAGCTGAGGAAGTGAGACGTTCACAGTTAGTTCTGAATACCTTAAATGAAGAAAACAAACACAATAAACTTTTTATTGAAATGAAGAATGCCGGATCCGTTATGACAAAGCTTGACGACAAAGGAAGACAAGCTATCGAAGACAACAAAACAGATGATGACATTAAATTTTTCCGAAACAAAAAGATACTTGAACAGTTGAAGATTGCAAAAAACTTTGGCACTACTTTAACATATGAAACTCCCTCATCAGATAGGACATTCGAAGTACAATATGAAAAATCATACTACATGACATTTTCATCTGATCAATATGAATGTAATATCGTTGGAATAGCAATGATTTCTGACACACGAATGCTCGTGGCTGATTATAACAATAAAACAATTAAAATGATTAATGCAGACACGGGAAAGCTGATATCAAGGAAGGCTCTGTCTTCGGCACCATATGATGTATTAAAACTTCCGGACAATAAACTTAAAGTCGCTATACCTAGTGAAAAGTGTATACAGATGATGTCTTACAATGACAGAAAATTGTTATTAGATCATAAAATAGATATTGAAGGAGAGTGTAAGTGTGTAGCTTATAGTCAAGGTAAGCTAGTAGTCGGCTGTGGTTCTAGTACAGGAAAGCTGGTTATTTTAGATACAACAGGAAATATCACACAGGTGTTTGATACTCCTGGATTGCTTGATTCACCTCAAAAGATTGTTATCAGCAGTGATGAGAAATTCATGTATGTATCAAATTACAAGGGCACATATGCTGGCAAGTGTATAAAAATTGACTGGCATGGTACGGTTGTACATATGTACGAGAAGAGGAAACATGTGTTTCCAAAGGGAATACAAGAGTTAGAAGATGGAACGCTGCTGGTGTGCTACAGTAACAATCAAATTATTAGACTGTCGAGCACCTTCAAGAAATGTGAGGTCGTCGGATTAGAGAAAGCAGACCTTTATTACCCTAACTCTGTAGCATACAGTGAAAAAGATCACAGACTGTTTATTAGTTCTTCTGATTTGTGGTACAATAATAGAAATAATAGAAATAATACAATCACGGTATTCAATGTAAGATGGACTTAGCGGCTGGAAAGAACATTATCTTAAGTTCTTGATTCTACATATTAGAATATGCTTCATCTAATACAACAAATATAATCCATGTAAGACTTTTATCACAATCCTGAACATGAAACAAAACACATTAAATTTTGTTTTAAAAATAGCCATTTCTAATATTATATCCATATAACTTATACCGTCTATAGGCACATAAAATTAAAACTATTGTTTAGTTACACGATACCTGTTGTGTATGCCATCAACAAAATATATATTTGAAATTATTTCAATAAAATTATTCAGCAAGTTTAATCATTAACTAAATTGGATCCACAAATAAATGTCCTTCCTTTTAAGTTGTTTAAATAGATATACTACTTCATGTGTGTTGGTGCACAAATATCGTTTTTGTTTATTATTGTTACACAAATTCAATCTTATAATTGTTATTAGTAATATGTGGGGAAACAAAGCAAAATTTGTAAAATCATTCAATTTAAATGGTTCATTGTCCACAGCAACGTGAATTGTTATTTTCTATTTTAATCAATTCATGATTTAATGTCGTACTAAATACTAATAAATAGTCGTCATCCTCATTACTTCTTGACCTTATTTTATCGCAAAAATTGTTACTAAATTGTTAAAAAAATTCAATGTCAAGAAACATATACGGACGCATAGAAAATATTGTATTATTATCATAAATAAATCATAAAACGTATACTTGTGATTTTCTTATTCGTACTGTACAATTGTTGTAATATTTTACATTATTATTTAAGTTTGATTGTATTTTTAGGTATGTATGTTTGAGTTTTAACATTGCAGGTCATTAAATACATCATTAAATAAAGCCAAAAAAGGTTTAAAACCCTTTGATATTTACGGTCAAAAAAGTATCAATTGTAATTAAGTTTACAGAATCTATATGTTTCCCTCAATCTTTTTCATAATGAGACTGAAACAAAATTTATTTGTATCCAAGAAATTATACCTTTCGACGTAAATTTCAACACTGCTCGACAAAGCAGACAATAAATAAAAAGAAAAGTGACAGGTGTATAAATGTCAAGCATAGTGTAACCGCTTCCTTTTCGTAATTGACGCAAAGAAATGTGAATATGAAAACTACTAAGATACAACTTCAGCAAAAAATCTGAACCCTTAAAATTGACATTTTAACGTTACCGTGTCGGAATAGTGAGTTTATTGTTAAAACTCAAACAATCCAGACTGCTGTTCTCGAATGAATGTACCGCAACGATATGGCTTTGTTATTAAATGAGAGGGAAGCAAATCCTAAGGCTTATTAAAATATAATTTTCAAAAGTTGTTCCCCTTTTGTAACTAATTCATAGTCATTTACTTGTCTATTTATTGATTAATTATAGTTTACCATGTTAAAAGGTATCCCACACGACATTTTGAATTTTTTGTACCATACACTTAAATGAGAAAAAACATTTAAACAAAGATATACAAGAAGGGCGCCATTCAATAAATGCACCCCCTAAATGCAACCAACAGCAATACAGGACCCACCAGCAAGAGGCCCAGCACGGCACCAAGCAAAAACAGAATTACAAGAAGGCACAAGGGCCAACGGAAAATCCTACAAACGATATTCTTCCTTTTATTTTTTAATCACTTATCGATCAGGCATAAATTGCGACATTATGGACTGCACATGTGGAAGAATCATGAAACCACACTTTTTTCGGTTTTAACTCTTTCCTGTGCTGTTTAAGTAAATAACCATTGTCACAATGTTTTAGAGTTATCACAGCCATGATTTTTATCGTTTATCAATGTCAAAGTGACGAATGCAAAAAACTTCATTATCACTCAAATCATTGAGTCTAAATGAAATCACATTACCAGCCCATACAATTCAGTGTGTAACATGTCTTGCAAATTACAAGCATCTTCTACTTTAAAACCTATACATTTTCACTTCTTGCGATAACAAAAGTAGACTCGTTTTTACACTGCTTATTACGAATATAAAGAAATATTGATTAAAAAAAAATATTCCGTCAATATGAATTTTTGCTACAAAACGCTAACTCATTCGATCATAAATGGATAATACTTTAACCAAGGGAAAGAAATAACACTGGCCAATCCGCAAAGAAATTGTACCAATTGATACTAGACGATCGGTTTAGGAAATATGGTGTATTTTTAAAGCAAAAGCCTTTGTCATGTGAGAAGTTTAAGACTTTGACATTCTCCTATGAGCCATGGGAGGTATCCATAATATTGCATAGGCTAATCTACAAGCAATGGGCACGTGACTGTCTTGTTTTTACGACTTTACTAGTATAATAAATGACCGTACAGACAAGAGCCTTTGCTATGCTGGTACTTGCCTTCCCTATTTCTTGAGTGTCATATGCCTAATTGTGCCGTTAAGGGAAACCTTTGGTTGCCTCCAGGAAATTCGTAGATATACTAAAAATGATCTGTTTTGTGAAAATACGTTTAGTCTATACACTGAAAGAAGACATCGACTTGAAGGATTGAGCCTATGCCACGCGACCATTTTGTTACCTTGCTCCTTGGGCGAGCGCATGTGCCTTATATTGCCGTTAAGAAAACCTTCTAAGCTACTGCACTGGTTGGTCTGCAACGAAATCAGAACAATGACTACCACTGGTTTCCCAGACGTAAATCATTGCAGAAAATTATGATAAGCTATAACCAATCAATCAACTCATTCATTCGTAATTGAGAACACTTTGTTTTAAAGAAAATGACGTTTTTATTCATTTTCTTAGTTTGCAATGAATTACTAAAGCCTTTGTAATTGATTATACACTAACGTTTTTAAGCCGTGTGCAGAAGTTTGAAAATAACTACAGGCAGAATAAAAATAGATTTTATCTTAAGTTTGCATGATCTTAGAATGTGATAACAAAACGTTTCATGACAAAATAAATTATGTTAATTTACTGAATAACTGAATATATAATTGTTGTTAAACTTTCGAAGGTCCTGTACAATTGCATTTGCGTACAAAAATAGACGATTTCTTGAAAACACTGGTATCATGCAAAAGCATTCTTAAAGGACATTTTCAACAATGCATGACTCCTATTTAATCGAAGCATTGGGGAAACAAAGAGTATATTTGCATAAACAAAGATTAAATTTACATAATTACGGACGATGTAAATACTAGTCGTTTAATGAAACTTGAAATGTAAATGTTTTACAGACACCCTTCAATCCTAAAGTTTTAATAAGGTATCATTTCAATATAGTAGTTCCTCCAATTTCTTGATATCATTGCATTGATCGTTAAACTACTCACAAATGTCTCTCATGAAATTCCGTAGAGTGAACATTATGCTGCAGTAAATCACAAAAACAATGTAAGAAGAGATTCTAGAGTGATTTACAGGGAATCAAAAGCTCTGTCAGGTGTCTTTTCGTATATTTTTCACAAGTACAATGAGGCTTGAAGAGGAGTTTGGCTAATCTGTTGAAATCAAAGGAAATTCAATTATTCCTACTGCAACTATGGAGAATTACGAATAGACTTACCATTGCATAATGTTTTTATTTAAGTACCGTTCTATTTTTTTCTGCGTCCAAAAAGAATCGCCATAATTAATAAATATCAAACCATGCATTTCGCGATTTTCATTGCTTTATTCTGTCTTCTACCGCTGTGGTAATATTTGATTTTTACTGTAGCCAGTTTGATATTTTTTCGATGTTTGTTCATATGACCAAACTTTCTGACAAACATTTTTAACAATTGTATGAAGGGAAAGTAAAACTTTCTTGACGACAAATTGCGATTGAATGATCGGTTATCATGAATCGTATTCCCTTTATTATAAATTAAGCATATTTATATTGCTTTCTTTTCGTAAACGAAGAACATCTCTACTGATTGTTATGAATAAATAGTTCCATTTGTCTAACCTTGTTGTTTTTCACATATCAATTTTGAATGGTTCATATTTCTCCTTTGACATGGTACATTCGCCACATATATATTCCCTGTATATTTTCAATATTTTCAACTTTGCGCGTCATTGTGTTTAAAGTAAAAAGAATTTGTTATATTAAATTGAAATATACAAACCATGTTATAATGCAGTTGCTTCAGTCAAAAAATAAAAGGTCTAAAATCATGTAGAAATCGCCCTTTGTTCATCTAATATATATCTTATCCCTTAACACTCTAAATAATTTTAAAAAAAAGATATGTTCATCTTTCAATCTAGACATAACGAGTCATCATTTTTAAAGGAAAACTTTTATAAAATGTATTGACTGATGAGCGAAAAGTGCAGACCGTGATCAAATAGCACGTACCAAGTTGATCTTGGTCGGCATTGATTGCATGGGAATACTTTGTTACCACCTGTAGCATAAGGTTAAATGATTATATCCATGTATATTATATTGCTTAAACACAAGATTCATCTGTCCTTATATCAGAAAATAACTGATTGGCTAAAAGAGTAGGGTTTTGGCCTTTAATTTATAGCATGGCAAAATTGTTCTCTAGGGACAATTTTCAGGAAATTAAGATAAATTGAAGCAGTGAAAATTAGCATATATACATATTCAAAGAGAGAATTAACAGATTTGGCTAGCATCGTATAAAAAAGAAGGTTTAATGAAGAAGTGCTGGCCCGTCAGTAGACAGAATGATCGATGCTCTGTAGCATTTTCCCGATACAAAATAATAGAAAATAAGAGAAGACAGTTCTGCTAGATATAATATAGGAAATCATTATAACATTGCATTTATTAATCTGATCAGAATTAAGATATTAACACTATCCAAATAATACTTACTAAGTCAAAATCTAGCTGTTTAAATATAAACAATCCCAATTTACGAGAAAAAGCATATAAAAATTAAGGTACTGACAGACAATTAGACTGATAAAGTTTTATCATCATTTCATATATGTCAAACATAGAAAAATTATATCACACTATAAGAGATGTTTGTAAACCATAACGGCCCTCTAACGGAAACAAATTAGTCA